CGCTAATAATCACACAGGTCCTATCTTACTGCATGTCGTACTTTCCTATTTAAGGCATTTGTTAACATCTATGATGATACTGCGCATGACCACATCGACAGTTACGATTCCGTTCTGCTCCGTAGTCGGGGTTCGATGTTTGTGTTGTAACTAAATCTACAGTTGACTCGATTGTTACACTTCTGTCGGGGTAGTCTGTCGGCGTATTTTTTGATGTTGGTCCGTTCTCTTCAGATTCGGTCTCACATCGTTTCCATTCCATTTCGATATCGTGTCCACTCCATTATAACCCTCGTCAATGACAACTCAAGCCACCTCGGCACACTCTTGAGCCCTAAAAGACAAACAAACAAGCAAACGAAAATCAACACCATATTCTTTCCATCCGCCTGGCGTCTTCCTTCGTCCTTTTAAGTTATTTTTCCATCCCTTCCTCCGTCCCTCTCTCCCCATCCCCTCTGTCCATCGGACGTCAGTCCCGCGGCCGGCCCTCTCTGGTCCCTCGTTATCAGTGTCGCGGCCCGGTCGCCGCTCCCCACGCAGTGCACACTCGTAGCTCGGGTCAGTTGACCGCGGGTGGTCGGTAGTAGCGCCAGTGTGCGTCGAGAGCTCCGGGGCGGTAGGTGGTGCTCTAGTGCGTGCTGAGGTGGTTTGGTGCGTGCTGAGGTGGTTTGGTACGAGTTGAGGTGTTTTGGTGACTCGTGTGACTACGAGTATACAAGCCGGTGGAATTGGTGTGGTCTACCGGTGAAGTTAAACCTTCGCTCGGCGCCTGCCGTCTGGCGCTTCACACTAGCGTAGACTCTGGCGCGGGCTTCACTCAGCTCAGCTCAACTCAGCCCAGCTCGAACCCAGCCGCCGGCTCACCACAGCCCTCCCTCCAGTGAGGTGCGTCGCCCCACCGCCGACCCTGCCCGTGGATCGGGTTACCGATACTCAATACGGTCTGGTGAGGCTTCGGTCACCCCGGTGGCTGCGTGCGGACGGTCTCACCCTCCCCAGGTGTGCTAGGCGGGACTGCTAGCTGGGTCTCTGGGCTGGGTCCCCGGGGCCCTGTTTGGCGGCACGCAGCTACCCATCGCTATTGGCGCTTCGATTTCCGCATAGAAACGTAGCGGAATTGTTCAGTCTGCTTACGTTGTCATGGAAGCGGAAGCGCAAATACCTACCATCTATTTCGCATTCATTATCGTTCCATTATCGTCCACCGATTATTGAAAGGATGGTGTGGGTTGAACTAAGAAATTTTGCTTGCGTTCGAGCTCATATGACATGTATTGGTTGCGTTTTCTGACGTCCCCAATATTCGTCGGACAATCTGTATGCATCTAACGTAACGGATACTCATGATTACTGTATGATTAGCATGTAGGTACTTTGCAACATAAACGGTAAGTCTCATTAAAATGGTATGGGCCGTCCGAGTCCTGTTTCGGTATGCTCAATAGATGCGCCCGATTTGTGGTTTCGGGGGATTCTTCTGCCATGCTATTATTAGTGAATCCGTTAGATCATGATTGGATTATGATAATTGTGGCATGAAACGTTGCCATCAATAATATTGCTGGTAGTCCCGATCAGGGTATATTGGATTAGGATTCCAATACCTAACAACTGCCCAAGCCGCAGTTCGTTGCGTATCCATATTTTGCGCACTGCACTCTGCAGTGCTTTGGCAATGTCGCACATATAACTTATTATTGAACGTGCAACACAATGTCAGAAAATATAACGACCAATCCCTTTTACCGCAAACGAGAGTCATGCATATTGGTCGCTAAGTGCAAGATAAGAACGGGGCAAGACATAATGACGGACGGTTACAGACAGTTTTCCACATCTTGCTACTGCTAAACCGATCTTTTAGATCTCTTCCCGGCGCGTATGTTTGCGCCCCGGCGCAAATCACGACCGTTGGCTCATCCTGTCTCCTGACAGACATGTGTCCACGTCTCAGACTATCAGAGGTGCGATAACAGATATGCCACGCGTCCGGATTTCCCTGATCGCCACTCTTGGGCGAGTGTTGAGCGACTTGCGTGTGTGCCTCTCGAGTCATGCTGCAAGTGCGCAGGTACTCAGGAAACTAAAATGGTCGTGTGCCCTGAATGAGGGCACTGTCCGCCTGTTCAGGTTCTGGCTTGAATTCAAGTGTTCATTCCAGCCAGCAACTTCCGCTTTCGTCGGCTGGCTTTATGCCTGGTATAAGAGAAGCTCGAGTCCAAAGTTAATGCACACTGCACATATCTTCTTGAAGGAAGCTTCCTATTGGGGTATTTTTTTAGAACTCTCTAAATGGAAAAATCTACTCAAGTTGACGGCGTTGTCTGGGCCTTGGCGCCGACAGTACCTAACAAATCAGCAGTTTGCATGAACCACTGCTGCTCCCAAACTGGTCACCAGTCATTGTTTTTAACCAGGGCTGCGGAGTCGGAGTCGGAGTCGGAGTCGGAGTCGGTCGGAGTCGACAGTTGTGACCGGAGTCGGAGTCGGAGTCGGAGTCGATTTTAGAAACCCGAGCCGGATTCGGAGTCGGAGTCACCGAAAATCTGTCGACTCCGCAGCCCTGCTAGGTCTGCGGAGTCGGAGTCGGGAGTTGGAGTCGGTCGGAGTCGACAATTCTGCCCGGAGTCGGAGTCGGAGTCGGAGCTGGTTTTTGAAAGCCGGAGTCGGAGTCGGAGTCGGAGTCGCCGAAAATCCATCGACTCCGCAGCCCTGTTTTTAACCACCCACCACCTCGATCGAGTCGGCCATGCTCAGATCGTGTTTGTTGCTCTGCAGCGACTCGCTCCGGGTCCCCACAGGCAGGGGTCTGTCCGAGATAGCGGTCAGCCAGGCCGGACCGCCGGGGTTTCACCGTCTGCTGGGACTGTCCGACCGGGCCGCAGAGGAGGCTAGCACCGCAGGCAGTCGATAGTCGTTACCATCCTGTTTTGGTCGAGAGGGTCAGGTCATGGAGTCCTGCGGGCGATTTCATAAAGCTTGGTGGTATTTTACATCAGGGTATATTTTACGCCTAAGAAGGAGCCTCTAGAAGCGGGCAGTTTTACTTGGGTCGGAGGGTTTATTATGCGGTAGCTGGATGCTTTCGTTTGTTTTGTACTGTGTTAATAAATATCCATTATCCACTACTTAAATCACAGTTAATTACAGCATATTATTACATCCGCAATTCCTTCATGAGTCCTTTTGGTCGTAAAACGCAACCAAATGAGTAGAAAACTGCGTTAGTCGCATTTTACGCTCGTCTATCAAATCGGCCGCTGGATGATATTTAGAGATGGGGGGGGGGGGGGGGGGCAGTACGTTATCGAGCTGACCTGTGAAGTGTGGTAGCGTCCCGTCTGGGTTGGGGACTGATGTCAGGGCTTGGTATGGTCATTGGTTTGGTTCGATGGGACATTGGCTGGTGTAGGACAGTTATCAGTGCTGTTGCGTTTGTGCTGGAAAGGGCAGAGCAAGGCGGCACATTTCGTTTGGGTCGTTGGGGCAGTGCGCCGTACCTTGCTAGATGGTTGGGAGCCTGGGAGGGCTGGTATTTTTTTCTGCTCAGACCCCTGGCTTTAGGAATTGTGAATTTGATGCATTTTGATATATTCCACAGATCGATTTCTAATTTTTTGACGATTTATTTTCGCTCCGATCAGCTTAAAGCTGAATATTGCCTGTAAGCTGTGCAATGCTCTGTGCTGTATACCGTATACTATATACTGTATACTATATGCCTACTAGTACCTACCAGCCGATTAGGTATAACCTGTTACCGAACTCCATAATGAGAATCCCGAATCCTGAATTCTGCTGATTTCCATTTATCCATATTCAGCGCCTCAAATCCAGCGTGTTTTTGTATGTAACATCACTTGCTCAACCCAGCTGGCCACGCACGGGTTTCGTGACCTAACTCATGACCAATCATTCGTCGTCATGAGTTAGGTGGGCTGGACTTCAACGATAAGAGTTGCGTGGAGACTTCAAGGTCAAAATTATGTAACCATAGACAGACCGGCAACAGAAATCCATGGTACCATTTTCCTGTCTCCGAAACCCAGTAATCGTTTTTATGCTCATTGCAATTGTCATTGCAAAGCATGCATTTTAGATTGCAGTTAAATGACCTATATCAAATTAAATTAATTTTTGGACAGAATGCAACTCTTCTTCATGGAATTTTTTTCAAGATATCTTGTAAACTGCGACAATGCCGCTATACACCTCGCGGAAAGAATGAAATGAAAACCTCATGTATTCTGATATCGAGTGTAACTCCCGAGCAGCAAGTGCCATAGGCGGCGAAACGAGGAGGGCACCGGGGCACCGTGTCCCCCTTTGATTTTGGTATTTTAACATTAGCCCTATGGGCGTTGCATGGAAAGAATGGGACCAAAAGTCGGCAGTGCCCCCCCCCCCCCTGAATTGAAGCTGTTCCGCCGCTACTGGTAAGTGCCCGGTGCCGTGTGAAAGTTTTAAGTATCTACTTTTTGATCAGTTACGTGACGATAGATCGCCATTTTCCCCGTATCCCTCCGTATCCCGTTTTCCTAATATTAGTGTTTTTCTGTATCCCATTTCTCTCCTCCTATCACTCTTATTCATCTCATTGTCTTCCTGCATTTGCTGTCCGTTCACGCATTTCCTATCTTCAAATCTTTCCTATCTGCGTCTCTCTATCACTTTAAACATCCAGTCATGGTCTATCTATTACAGTGATGGCAGAAATAGCGAAATGTCCATCAAACGGCGCCAGAAATAGCCTAGTGAGACCCTGAAACTTGTGTCCTTGGTGACCGTTGGGAATTTCGGCCCTGCCCTCGCACTCAGGGCGGTCTCTCCGTCGCTGGGTCAGGTCTCTCCATTCTCCGGGATCTGCCTATACCGCGCTCGGCCCAGCAGGTTGCCTAGTGGGCCCAGCAGGCAGCCAAGTGCCCTCGGGCTCGCTGCATCCCGCCAGGGAGCGCGCCCGCCGTTCCAGGCTGCGTCGGCGACGGTAGCGGCGGCAGTCTCGAGCTGGTTCCGACTGCGTGAGGGGTGCCGTGCGGCTGCACTCGGGTGTGTGGTGGGATTGGGCGATTGTGAGCTCTTTGTGCGAGAACTGGTTCGTGCTGAGGAACGGGAGAGCGCTGTCTTGGAAAAAGGCGAGACGGGACGAACACATGTTTTGGGTGCGCCGTTGTAGCTAAGAGCCGCCGGCAGAGGTCTTGAAACTCTCCAAGGCGTTTCAGTGAAAGATTGACCACACTGTGGCTGTGACTGGTGCTGTGTCCTCCACCTCGAACTTAAGCAGCTCAGTTGAAGGACGATTCCAACACCTACTCGATCGAATTACGATTCTTACAGCTGGGACACTTACTTTATTGAAGAGTGGTCTAACATCGGGACACCTATATTCATTGAAGGTCCACTGGAGAGGAACCTGGGTGCCGGCTGTGTCATCTAAAGACGCGTCGCCATGGGAGCGATTGGGAAGGATGGTGGGGGAGGAGGAACGCTTTGGCAAAAAGGTGAGGAGGTGTTGAATGGCGGCTACTAGTATGCGTATCCAATCATTCTCAAATATCACACCGCTCTCACCAATTAGACCGCATGGCGTTGAGTTTTCCATTTTCATCACTGCTCTCTTATCTACTAGCAACGGAGGTGACAGACCTGACTCCACGAGGCGGTTATGTTGATATTCTCTGTCATAGAGAGCTGCGTTCTTCACCCGCGACCGCTTGGGAAAAGGTCGGATCTGACCCCTTCTGTTTCTTTGTAATTTCTTATGAACCGTTTGAGCTAGTACCGTGGAACCTGGCGTGCATTCTCCTACATCAAGATGACGTGTGTTGATGCAGTCTCAACAACTTGTTGAGATATGCCCATTTTACTGACCCAACTACGACATTTTTCGTCACAAAAAAGGTAAACGTTTTGAAAATCGCCCAAAAATGGACACAGTTGTCAAAAGACGCACAAACCTCAAATCTTCAAAATGTATATCTTAAATTTTCCAAAAAATGTTTTGTATGCTCCAAAAATGTAAAAAACCGACTTTATGGAGTTATGCTCGCAAGATAAAAGATTCTTTATGATAATGATATTTATGATAAGTATGATATATTTATGATATTTTTTATGATACTTGGACTTCAACTTCAACTTCAACTTGAACTTGGTCAACTTGAAAATTTGACCTCAGTTCAAGGTCATGACCTGAACGGAAAAGGTCGTGTTACCTATCAGTCGATCCGTATCGTCGAGCTGAATACATCTAAGGTGGTTTCATCGCACTAGCATGCATCTGTCTAAAAGTTATAAGCGAATAACTGTGTGGATACTTTTTGTGACTTGAGATGAGCTCAGGGTCATAAAAAGGGGTCATGAGTGCAATCATTCAATTAAATACTTTATATACTCACCTTTAACCAGATGTTTGAGAATGATTATTATATCGCTCGTCCAAAACAGGCGCATTTCCATTTTCCCCCATTGACACATCTGAGTTCTGTAAAGGATGCTTTGCTTCTTCTCCGTTGAATGTTGGGCGCTGATAACCTATGCAGTATGCACTATGCAGTCTGGGCGCCCCCTAAGACCAATCTATCATTGTCATTCACCTCTGAATTCTCACCTTTTATGCAACTAAATATAAAAATATAAGAAAACGTAGTCACGATACGCTTAGCAATGCCTGGGACATCGGGACGTCGACCTTACCGAGTGGCATGAGTTGCAGGCTTTGTCCTCAGACTCCCCCGCGGGAATTCCATAAGCCATGACATGGCCGCGAGCGGTTGGCAACAGGACTGGGTTGGGCTATTATAGAAATATAATCGGGTACATAATTAGATGTCTGAATGAGATGCAAAGCACCATCACTGGGAGTCAGGACCTGGCATTACCAATCATCTGTTCACTGATCGGGTGTCACTAACTGCCTCCACGGCCCGTGGATTGGCTAGTGGTCTGGTGCATATTGAGTTCAACTATAGAACTATCCTGCAATGGGCGATTCCATGTCTCGAACTGCTGCTGGACTATCTGAGGACCGCAAACTGCTGGAATTTCCCTGGAATTTACGGGCTCTCAAATTTTGATTCAAGGCTAGGTGAAATCAATCATCTTCGTCTCCCATGTTCCGTGTCGTGCATTGTGGTCTAGGTAAGACCGGTGGCGGTGCCTTTCAAATTTCAAGTGCACTTCCTCATGCTACCAAATGGATGGGCTGATATTGTGATAAAAATCACTTTGCCTGCTTTTCTATATTTAAACCGCTTGATAAATTGCCTCAGTCGTTTGCATTTTTTGCTTCGATTTCCTCAAATTTTTAAACGCATTAGCGTCTCGGCAAAGCTTTGAAAACCAGTTACTATGCAGATTGCAGTGCAGATAGTTGAAAGACTGCTAGACATGGGTGGAGAACCTGCCCCGGCCACCCCGGCCGTGGCCGGGGTAACTTTCAGTCTACCCCGGCGCGGCCGGGGTAACTTTTCTACTCTTGTAGATCCTAAAAGCTGCCTCCATACGAGAAAAAAAAAACTATCGTTCTTCGGATGTTGACTGCCATGGGCGTAATATTGCAAATCAGGTAGGTACTCACTTAGCTTACCATAATATCCAACCCTAGCATAGGAACCGTTTGTGGTCGCCAATGTCAAGATTGCTCTCAAATCGTGTTCGGTTTCTAAAATTTGGCGCGCCTTAGGCGCACTTTTTCAGAACCACTGCTTGACCTCACTGGCCAGTGGCCACTGCCTTCGACTGGCCTGCCACCAACCGCAACCATACCTGTTTAGGGGACGGGAAGGTACGTTGTAACCGGGACGCATGCTCTCGCCACGCGGAGTCCAACGCTCTAGCGACTGAGCTACGAGGCCGAGACCGGTCGATATCCCTGGATCGACTCCCTTTTTATCTTATAAGAGGTTGAACCGCCTAACATTGAAAAAGGCTGTGTCCCTGGATGTCAGTGAGTACATAGTGGCCCATTTTTATGTTTTGGTTCGAACATTCAATTTTCTCTGTAACCCTCCTACGAGGTGAGCTGTCGTGTTTTTGTAAATATTTTGAGACACAATAAAAAAACTGAAACCGTAACATTTACTCATAATGGCATGGGTAAGATATGATTTGGGTATGGATGAAATCGAATAAGTTCAAGTAAAAAAAAAATCACTTAAAAGAAGAAAATCGCCTTTTCAATCATGCCAAAAGATGTTATGAGTGATACGATGTCGGATACAACGCTCATCCTTGAACAAACACAACATCCATTATTCCATTTCCTAAGTTCAGAATAGGGGTTTGTTTTTGGTGACCGTTGACAACAACATGAGCATATCGTCTTTCCGACTACCGGCCGCCGGCCGGGGTAACTTTTTCGAACATTCTCCACCCATGCTGCTAGATATTTTCATAGTAAAGTCCGCTCTAACACTGAAGCAAAAGCCCCAGGTTGGGACCTTGTGTGCAATGAACACTTATTGCACTTAGAAACACATTTTCTCAGTGATTTGGCTGTCCTATTTAATGGGATGCTCAGCCATTCGGCACTGCCAAGTGATATGATCCATTCCTTGTTAGTTCCTATAATTAAGGACAGGTGCGGTGCTTTAGATGACAAAGCAAATTACCGTGCTATAGCATTGTCCACTACTTTGTCAAAGATATTGGAACTCATACTTTTGGACAGGTTAATGCCTTTCCTCAGTACCAGCGATGCACAGTTTGGCTTCAAGGCGGGACAGTCCACTACTTTTGCATCATACGTCCTTAAAGAAACAGTGAACCACTATACAAGTCAGGGTAGCCCTGTTTATGCCTGCTTTTTGGACGCCAGCAAAGCATTTGACAGAGTATCCCATTCTAAACTCTTTCGCATTCTTGCTGATCGTAATGTACCTCTGCCATATGTCAAGCTCCTCTTAAGGTGGTATAGGACGCAAAAACTAAGCGTCAAGTGGGCTGGTAGTGAATCCGACACCATCAACGTTCAGAATGGTGTAAGGCAGGGTGGATCGTTATCCCCGATGCTATTTAATGTTTACATTGACTCCCTTCTTACTGTATTGAGGAAGCTGAAGATCGGCTGTTTCATGGGTCCAAGTGCCGTGAATGTGATTGCGTATGCTGATGATTTAGTGCTTTTGGCTCCAACTAGGTCAGCCCTTCAAACGTTGGTACAAAAATGTGAGCACTCTGCATTAGCGCTTGATGTCGTGTTTAACACGAAGAAGACAGTGTGTTTGCTGTTTCCGCCACAAAAGCCATATAGAAAACTACACCTGTCCAACAGCCAGACTGCAGATATTTATTTAAATGGACAAAAACTTGGATGGGTGCAGGAGTTTAAATATTTGGGTCACACAGTTTCATGTGATTTGGATGATAGTTCTGACATGCGCAGAGTTAAACGATTTATGTATTATAGTACAAATATGCTTTGTGCTCAATTAGGCTTTGCAGATAGGGACACTCTAGTTAGGCTCTTCAGGACATTTTGTACAAGCATGTATGGCTGTGAGTTGTGGAGTATGCTGAGTGGGAAAAGGCGATGCGTGAATTGTGTGTGGCCTATCACTCCTGTTTGAAGAAACTTGTTAAAGTTCCAAGATGGACGAGAAACCACAACCTGTGCATGGAGCTAAAGATGCTTACATGTCCAATGCTGATAGCGAGTAGGCAGCTTCTTTTCTGGAAGAGAGCTACATCTAGTCAAAATAGCATAATAAATGATCTGAATAGGGCCATAGGCGAGAAAGGGTTGGTTGCACGCAACCATAGGAAAATCAGAACTGACTATGAGCTGCTGGAACTAAATATAAATGATATCAGTCGAAAAGATGTTAGCAATATGTTCAGTGCCCATCTAGAAAGAGTGGTACAAGCCCGTCTCATGCAGGTCTGAATTCGCTGATGTCAAACTGCCAAGATTGTCTCTTGTGCATGGGTGTGATGTGTGCAGAGTGTATGTTGATGTGTATGTTGGTGACATTATCATGTTGACTGAATTTGTCATGTTGTATATGTACCGACCTGGTGCGAAATAAATGTTATTATTATTATTATTATTATTGATATTGACTTTTTGATGGCTTACTACATAACATTGTTATCAAACAAGCAGACGTATGTAGTGCCTTTGTGTTCAGTTCTGGTGCCACTAATGCAATAACTTTCAGGAGCAATGGTCACATCAAATTCCTGCTTGATGGAAGTCTGTGTATCATGGGAAAACCAGCGCTTGACTGATTTAACATTTTGGAACAGATTCACCTTACCTCGACGTGCCCCAAATGAATAACAAATGTAGGTAATTCTGAATTCGAAAATTATATCTATCCTGGTATAGGACCAGGAGAGATTTGAATCTTCAATTCTGAATCCTGAACCCTGAATCCGGACCCTGGTCCTGGTGCACGGGCGGATTCAAGGGGGGGGGGGGCAACCGAGCCAAAGTCAGGCCTAGGGGCTGCCAAAACATGATTTGGCCCCCTCCTTTCCAAATCGAATTCGTCCCTTTAAAATCTACTCTGGACTGCCATTCACAAAAATGACAACATGCATGCAAGATAAGTTAATAAAACCTCATTTCTGATCCCCATCTGGCCAAGTATCTCAAAAATGGGAAATTTTGTCGTTGATAACCTTCGGAGACCTGACCTTTTGTCCGGCTTTGACCCCTCCCTTTGCAAACGACTGGATCCGTCAATGTCCTGGTGCATGACCAGGGCCTCGTTTCATGAAGCGAGTCCGTAACTTACGCCGGTTTTTGGTCTTGTATTGCAAGTACATGTGAAGCGATGACGATAGTTTAAATCGTTGAATATATTTATCTTGCAAACAAGAACAGAAGGGAGAAGGGGAAATAAATTTATCGCTTCACATGCGCTTGCAATACAAGCCCAAAAACCGGCGTAAGTTATGGACTCGCTATATGAAACGAGGCCCAGGACTGGTTGCATCAGCAGCCCGACGGTGACTTGTACCTTTTGAATCGACCGAGTCATTGAACAATTGGGAACGCCGACGCTGGTTTGGTTTGGTTGTTTTTGTTTGTCCAGCTGTAAGCCGCGAATTTCCCCGTCATTTTTTAATGGTAATGGTGTCGTTTAGGCATGCCATGCGTTGGATGACACATTTCTTTCTTTTCAAATAATTTATTTATGTCGTTTTGTTTGGCATGCCATGCGTTGGATGACACATGATCATTACTTCTTTTCAAATAATTTATTTTTTGAGAGTGTACAACGTAAAGCATGCGACGAGTTTTATTGACAGCAGCCAGTTCCTTGAAGCGCCACGCCAATTCCTGGAGAATCGTTTCCAATTGGTTGTGACGAAGGTATAAGAACGATATAAGAAGATATAAGACGATATCTCCTGGTCTGTCCGCGTCCCTCTGATACCTGCTCCTTTCTACCGATGCGACTCTGCGGACTTTCGTGGCCTCGCCGTCGTCTATCCGTGCTCGCTTCTTTTGTGACACATAATTCACGCGATGTTCTGGCCCCTTGCTAGCATGCAGACGTCGTTTGGCCCGACTGTTTGGTTGATTGGTTTTCCCTGTAGATCAAGAATAAGATTGAAGGACTTAAAGTTAAGAGTTTTGCTTATTTCCCCATTCGTTTTTTTCGGACGTGGCTATTCACCGTATATTGCAGGGAAAAGGAGATCGCTACTGGTTTTCGAACACAAGGCATCTTAGGTGCGGTAGCAATGCCTTACTTTACCGGCGAGGGCAAGAGATGAAAACGTAGTCATTGGTCATGCTCGATTTCTTTATCTCATGTGTTTGTGCTGTATCAGGAGCACGAATTAACGCCAAGGCCATGAGCATACGCCTTTCGCACAGAGTGTGTATATTCTGTTCGGATAATATAGGTGGGCGTCTACGCTGGGTCTCAGAGACGTCAAAGGCTGCAACTCTTTTTTTTGCTATGTCTGGCTTCGGCGTCATTATTACATAAGAAACCGGCCGGCAGGACAGACTGTCGACTGTTCTCGTGTCGCGCCGCTGCATATATTGCCGGTCACTGCGACTTCGCCGGTCGGCTGGAGGTCACAAATCCCGGCCGGGCCCCGGCGGGTGCTACGTTCCACAGTAGGCGCGAGCCTGTTTGCATTGGTGACATCCGCTCGCTTTTTACAGATGGGCTGTTTTATAAACGTTTATTCGCTGTGCTTGCTGGTAAATCCAGAGTGAAATTGGGGCTATCACTTACTGTTTTTTCTTTCTTAAAGTTAAAGATTGTTTTGAACGTAAGGTAGTTTAAAAATGTTTGATTCCTTTCAAGCATTTTGACTGGCACCTGCCGCCCTTTCCTATAAGAAACTCAGGGAGCTGATGGGTCTTACACCTGACCAACTCTCAATATTTTCCTGCATTTTTGGTAAGAATCAAAGATAGCCACAGAAAATCATCGAGTCTCACATTTGATTTACGATTATGGTAGGCTTCGGATATGTTAACCATGTGCAAGCGCCCGGTGCTGACTGCTGTGTTTTGCGGACTGTTAAGTGTTAGGTTATAGGTAGGAATTAAAAGTCGAGGGAATGTGTTCGCGAATGGGTTTCTAGCTGCCCTCTCTCCGGTCAAACTGGTCAAATATTCCAATGCTCGAGCCTATAATGAAATAACGGATAGTGATCCATCTGAGAGAGCTGGGGTTTTCCAGCTTCAAGCCGGCCTAAACAGGCTCCTGAACGAGGAATGATATCCAATATCCATCATCACATCCCCGTCTTCCGAGACTGCATGCTGTGTCACATCTCCGCGGCGTGACGTCACGACACTGCGGGTGTCCTTAGTTGCCATGGTAACACACCTCCCGGGGCTTCGACCCGTCACTTTCCGAGAATCGAACATACGATCCCGAGAATGGATGGCACCTGATTTCCCCCGGCAAGCGGAATGTGAGGACAGGGCGTTGGCGCAAGAGACGGGGCGAGTAGGTACAGAGAGTCGGACATAGGGCAAAGGGCAAGATGTGCATGTGAATGCCCGCTGGCCGCTGCAAAGGGCTGTGGATATGAGTGAAGGGCGCGGGATATGGCTGTGGTGAATTATTCAAAGATTACGACACAATTTTTTCCTTATGACCAGATGACTCTGTGATACAATTATCACTAAAATACCTTCCCTGATTGTTTTATACTCGATGATGTGTAAGTTCACAGTGGGTACGGATAGATCCCATCGTTCTTAGCTATTTTACCTGTGCGACTCCGCGACTCCTTTCAACCCATAGCGCCTCAAAGCAGCTCTTTGACTTTCGCCTTCTCTCTCCCACAGCTCGGAGCTCGCTGACGCAAACCTCGCTCAGCGTCCGCGAAGAAATCATGCGGATCCGGGGCTGGAAGCTCGCATACGGTGTCGGTCACTTCCTCAACGATGTGTGCGCCACCGTGTGGTTTTCCTACACACTGCTCTTCTTCCAGCGTGTGCTCTGCTTCCCCAGTAGCCTGGCCGGCATCGTGGTGCTCACGGGTCAGGTGAGTCACGTGGCGGTCAAGGTCACCGCCAGTCAGGGGCTCTCAAACTTACGCAACAAGTGTCGAGCGGTGGTTGTTATACCGATGGTTAGTAGTATGTTTACATACCAACCAGTAATCACCGTGTACTGCAGTGACTAAAAGATGCGCTTCAGCGAAGATCCATGGCATGCTTTGAATATGATGCTCGCATTCGAACTGGCAGTTGGCACGCTATTTCCCGTTATTGATCAAGTTATTGAAATGCGGTTATGCCCATGTAAAAGTTCGATGAGCCTGCGTAACATACCCGAAAGAACCGGTTGTCCGTTGCGTAACGTTGCCGAAGTGTATTACACAACAGCCTGCCGTGCCAGGACCTGGGCTCCACCGGACGTTTCTGGAGCTCTCGGTGCTGTCTGGAAAGGCTTCGTGCGGCCACCCGATCATGGCACGGATAAATTGCACTTTTGTCGGCCACAGGATTAGCAACGCGGTCTGTCTGACAGCCCGCCAAGTGCCTCTGATATTCTACAGCATGTTTTCTCGCATTAGGTTTTTTTGTTGTTGAAGGGAGGAAACTCATTAGCTACTAATGAGTCACACCAAAAAATCCGTGATCGTACAGGGCAAACACGCAAAAGAAGCTTGCGATGCGAATTCTCATGACCGCGAAACTGTTTGGGAATCAAAATGAGAGTTGTTGCATGCTTCCATTGAACTTCAGAGATGAAAGACTCCGGCATGCTGCTTAAAACGTCGCGAATCATGAAAATAGTATACGAATACTGCATGGGGGAGCGGGCAATAGCAAAAAATATTGCCCGATGTGACGTCACTGTCGCCCGAGGGTGAAGACCGAAACAAGTGCTATTGCCCGAGGCGAAGCCGAGCCACCACACAGGAGCCACCGTTGAATGGACATGTTCAAATGACGGCCCAGTTCTAGATGACTTGACTAGCCAATCACGAAATCAAACTGAACAGTCTGAGAAAACGACGATAAAATTACGACATTTGAATTTTTGTTCAAACACCACTGCGCGAGCAACTTACTATTGACCGTTGACATGGCAACCGCTTCTCACCTTCAGAAAGGTCAGTAACCTGACACTGAAAGGTCAGTAACCTGATGCCGGGCAATAGTAAAAAATATCTCATGCCAAATTAACACAGGAGCCATGTAATAATGGTCGTTTATGATTTACTTAAGTTGATCTTTTTCGTAAAGTAATTGCTTCGGAGGATAGTATGAGTGATCGAAACTGCATTGTACATTACATGCCTTAATACTTAAGCTAATGGTGGTTTTATGTTTGTGATTTTTGTCGATGGAGCGTCGTGCCAGGTAGGATTGTAAATTTTAGATCGCGCTCATGAAACGAGCGATTACGCCAGTTGAACAACAAACGAACGAACGGAATACTAGGCACGGCACTGTGAACAGGTGCAAATTCAACCCCCCAAAATGACTCCCGAGTTTCCCTGCGATGGCCGAGCATGCATTTTTCCTACATGTTACATGTCCTGTTTTGGCCCACCGTTCACATTTATGAGTTCTCATTGAAATAGGCCATGCCGAGATGGACCATCTCGCGTGTGAGCTGAATTGCGAGTAACCCTGTGTAATATCTATTGTATAATATGTCGCCAGGTGGCCGATGGAGTCTCGACGGTCTTTGTCGGTCTGATGGCCGACAAGGACCTCCAGTGGGCGATCTGCCGATACGGAAAGAGGAAACTCTGGCATCTGCTCGGTAAGCGCCGCGGGTCAAACACTGGACGGTGGATACGACAGATATATCATGAGGTCACTGGGCTCAACTGTTTAGTAGTCCTGACTCCTGGTAGCTGGCTCGTGGTCGGGTGGGTTTGGAGTTTAGCAGTCGACTCGGCAGAGCTACTGTTTGTCGTTTTGATTAGGAATGTTTCGGAGATCGTTTGAAGTTCTGTCTATCTGTCGGTAGCTCAATATAGGACGGATAATGCTAATCCTAATGGCTTTCCTGTTTATCGTAGGTCAGTTTTATGGATGCTGTGGATGGATGCTAGGCTACCTCATCGCGTTTTTAGAGTTCCGATGCTCTTGCAGCAATTCTGTTGGTTAGCAAATTTGTCTTTTATCTGATCCTCGTGGTACGCTACAGGTATCTACCCTACTATTTGTTTATTTTATTTCTTGATTTGAATCTTGGATATAAATAGCTCCTTTGCAATCCTATGTATGTATGTACCCATAAAAATTTCACATCAATCACCATTGGACCAAGTGAGATCATCATCCCAATGCTTCCACGGTACCATCCGAACCCAAAGTTCCTCTGACCCCCCACCACGTGTCCGTTCTTCCGCAGGCACCGTCTGTGTCATCGTCACGTTCCCCTTCATCTTCAACAAGTGCGTCGGCTGTGACGATGCGCCCAAGGACGTACAGCTCTACTACTTTGTGGCGTTCGTCATCATCTTCCAGTTCGGCTGGGCGGCGGTGCAGATTTCTCATCTGTCGCTCATCCCATCGCTGACAAAAAATCAGCGCGAGAGGACCGAACTGAACGCACTCAGGTGAGGGAATGTAGACGTTTCTTGACACTGTGGTTCGCAAAGTGTTGATGTTTGTGAGCACGGGGATGGTGATTAAATATGCCGGATATGGTGCTAGACTTGCACTTAAATGTGAAAGAATTGACTATGACATATTTCTCTGAATTGAAACGCACTATTGGGTATGCTGATTGCTGATGTCAATCGTAAATTACCCCTACTCGTCCTCGTGTTATGAAAGATTCGCTATATAGCGAAGGCTCATTTGCTTCGGGACAATTAAGCTGATCGTTCCCATGCCTTGGAATACAGTTTGTTTTATGGCATCCATTTCTAAACATCTCCAATTCCAGCCTGCCCAAAGGTCAGCTCCCGTGTTTGAAAACCCGAATGTCTTTCGGCAGTTGTGTGTTTGTAGAAACCTTCGTGAAACATGCCGGCGTTATTAGCCGCTAAATGGGCGCTGACGTCAGTCATACCCACTTTTCTATCACTGCGGTCACATCTCATGCCGACGAACATTTTTGAATATTCTCATGTAGCCATAGAAACGCAGCTGACTGTTTGAAGAAGCGCTCCTCTTTCGTTATGGTCAAACATATATAGTATGTAGTAGTCTATGGGTCAAAACAAGGGCATTTGATTATAAGGGCCCTGTACTAATCTACAGTCGCAACCGGAGGTAGAAAGGAGATATTTCTTCCGAAAATGGTTTATTGGTAGGATGAAGGAAAACAAATGCTGGCTGAGTGCACAAAGGGTATGTAACTTCATGAATATGAGGGTAATGGCTGCCGTTTCAATAGATCTCACGATAAAACTCCAGGGCCCGATTTCACCAAGTGAATATATTCCATTACGGCGGCGTACATATTCACTTTTGGCATATTATGACATATTCAGTTTCACCAAACTCCGTACAGGGATACTTATTCAAGACAAAGACAAAGTATGACTGCATAAGTCCGTCGTTTTTTGGCATACTATTACATTTGAGGTACCTCTGGTACGCCGATCTGCTTTTTCAACAGCTGTTTGCCGAGTTTGCTGGCATTGAAAGTATGCTACTTTTTGTGGCATACTTTGAGAAACAGCTTGGCATACATCCATTTTTTTGTATGATAATGTTACAAATTTAATGACTTCGTCGATGCAACGTATGATAAAAACATGCCACAGGCTACGCAAAAAGTTTTTGATGTCATAATGGTTATTTCTTGCTGGATATATAGGGTATCGTGTGTCAGGGCTTATATTGAAATTAAACCCCAGAACAGCTATTTTTATAAGACTTATCTCATCGTGGCATCACTGCGATTAAAATCACCCCATCATGCAGAAACACAACAGGGAACTCCTTTTTTCATTCGCATTCCCGATTACATTGAGTTTTCCACTTAAAAAAACGACAGTTCACATTGTATTTTGATAACACAAAAGGCCAAAAGCGTTTCAAATCTTTCTCACCGTGATTATTACACCGTGCTCTTTATACAGCGTTTTACCGAAGAGGAAGTAAATAACTGGCGAGGGCGAGAGGAAGGACTGAAGTCCAGTCCAGCAACGCCTTGATTGACATGCCCAGCATGTTGCATCACAAGTCACAACGCATTCGTTTACATTCGTTTTCATCGCCCACTTTTGCTATTTCTTTGCAGTACCCATATGCTGTCCAATGTCCATATTTTTTGTGTTGTGGCCAAATGATTCAATTTATCACCGACTTCCCGCTTCCGTTCAGGTTCAGTCTGCCGAATGATTCCGAAATATTCTCCATATTTGAAGTCGTCGGTAGACCCTTCGATTATTTAAAACTTGATTCAAGTAATATTTCAGATAACTTGTCGGCTAGTCGGCCGTGCTCCTTGCTATCGTCAGTGATCGGTAAGTTAGATTTAAGATAGGTGCCTCAAGTAATGCCATTTCTTGTTCGACTTTATTTGTATTTGCTTTGAACCACTCCAGAATTGCGTAGAAGATGTGAACAAATATTGAAGCAATATCTAATGAGAAGTAACTTGGAAGAAAAAAATTAATATCAATTCAAAATCCAATAAAACCCACACACGCCAGTAACGTCAACTGTGCTGCGCGGCTTGCTGCCGATTGTTTACATTTTTGGCTTTGGAATGTCATGCTCCCAGCAAAAATCAAGAGCATTATTAGCAATATTTGTTTAGGTACTTCCTCTTGTATGATCAGCAAATTTAATTCTTATTAGCGTAGCTAGAAATTTTTTCCATAATATTGTATATCTGAGCATTTAAGCTCGTCGACTTTAAATACGGAAAAATATAGTGACTGCATGTCCCCGACAACAAAAGATATATGCATGCGCGCCGGTGGCTCTCAAAGTACGTAAAGCGGGCGTATTGAATATATTCCTGTGGCGAAACCGAATAGTATTATCGTCGTACTTTGTCGGTGTACTTTTCCAAAGTACACCAAGAATATATTCACTTGGTGAAATCGGGCCCAGGTAGGGAGCACGCAATGCCAAGGTACTCTGATGCAAGCCTTCCATAATCGTCGGTTGCGACGAACTTGAACGGAGGGATTTTAAAGGTTAGCATATACTCTCCAATTTAGCACGCATAGTGACGTATAACCTTTTCCACATTTTTAGCGTGCCTTTAAAGACCTATGGTGTAAGATTATCTGCTATATTTTTGTATAAATTAGCAGATAAGAGAGTTAGCTTACTTCCGAGACGAACGCGTCGACTTGGACGTGATTTGGCGCAGGTTTTCTGGCGTTCGGTCCGGCATCACGTATTCAAGAAAGGAGTTACTTCTATTGCTGCTCTATTCTTTGAAGTCTTATCTACTATGGGCCGCCGGCGAACCTCCAGTAAGTGTTGACTTGCTGTAAAATCGTCTTTTAAAGAAACTGCTTTTTGTTTGAAAATCTGTTGATATCTGAATTTTCTCGGTGAATCGAGAGAGGAAAAAAGCACTGCACGTGACGTTGTAAGGCCCTGTCCATCCTGGAGACCTACAAGTTTTACGGCGACACTAGCGCCATCTATTGGCAGCTGCTAGTACTAAGCTGAAATATTTAAAACACCAGCGCCACCTTTATCGAATTGTGCTTGCCTACATACCAACCTGCTAGCGCAACCATGGCTGACCGCGTAAGGTTCAACATCGACATGATAATGTCTGATGTGAGAAGCTTTTTCAGCCGAGAACCCAAATGCACGAGAGAGGAAATGCTGGCCATGGGCGAAGACACTCTGCGGAGTCTCAGAGAGAAGCTCCACTCTCAGCTAATGCGAGAGATGCCATCCACAGCTGGTAGGCCACTAACCAGACGTCAAGCAGGCAGCACTGCAAAACTAGTAGAAGACTGCTGGGCACTCGGGAGTTCCCTGGCCCGGTCAGCTCTACTCAAGGATGCAGATAACCTGCTAAAGCCTGCGGACCGGCGCATCCAGTCGAGTAACGCACTTCTCTCATTTGGCACACAAACCCTGCCTTCTGAACCCGATACTGGACGCATAGAAGCCGTTTTAGATAATTCACTGCGAATGGACAGAGAAATACAGGAGCTTAGAACCTCGAACTCTAACCTTCGAGCTATCCTCGCTACTATGCAAGTCCGTATCGCCAATCTCGAGGAGCGGGCAGCGAAGTGTGCTGCCAAGGACGACGTCGAGTCTCCCACATCTAGCATCCATCTAGCAGACCCGACCGTTCCTGACAGAACCACGGAGCCTACTGGAGATTCGTCTGGATCAGGAGATCCCACCGTGGTTCCAGCCGCTGATCAGGCAGAGCCTGTACCCAGTGCGGCTGCTACAATCAGCGGCGTCACTCGCCCGGAGCCTGGACAGACAAGTGCCTCGTCCAAGCCAACGCCTCTCACCATGCCAGAACCAGACAGCAGCGCTGCTACAGGAGATGAGCCGGTCTCTCTGCCACCTCCCTCTGTCTCTGCCAGGCAGAACAAGGACAACAAGAAGCCGGAAGGAAGCCAGCCACTGCTGCCAGCGAGTACCGAAACTGACGTGGCCCGCTCTCTCGATTTGGACCGTCTGGCACGTGCTATCGTCTCCCATATGCATCAGCGTTCTGGTCCTGGCCAACAGACCGACACAGACGACAGTGGCAATGAGGCGGGAGAGCACAGGGCGCCCGCTGACCCTAAACCGAAGGGCCAGAAGCAGCGTCTTGACCTGCCATCTCGTCCCACCGGGAGAGATCCAGTCCGCAGAAGGCGATTCTTCCGCCCTAGACAAGAGCACCAACCAGTGTTCCATTTTTGGGAATTTTGGGTGGAAAATCACACCTAATGGGCAAAATATTTTCATCCCCAAAACCAGGTAAATTGGAATTCTTTCATCTTTGAAAAATGCTCAACTCATGCTCAACAACTAATAGCCAGATTACCAGATATACCTAGCAGCGCCATATAGACAGTTAGAACTTATAGGTTTGCTACATAATACATAATTTCCATGAAAAAAAGATGCGAAATCAAGGCACAAACCCAACAACTCACCCTGACAACGAAAGAAAATAACCTTGCATACTTCCAGCTGTTAATAACAAATATGCGTTGAATGACCTTGATCACCTCAACTGTTTGTAAAAACCAGGCTTGTGTTCTGAATAAATGCTTTTGGATATTCATAACAACTATGATTAGTGGTTTGCTGCCAACGCAAAACGGATGAGCCGCTGCTTGCGCAAATTAAACACTGCCTCTGCAATTCGCTTTTGACTAAGTTGCGCAGGATACGCCTACAAAATTTTCATCTTTGGACCCGCAGTCAGCTGGGCACACCCTGGCACACCCTAGGGATGAATTTAAAACTTGGTGGGCTCTAACTTCTTTCATATACAAAATAGGGGTATGAGACAGGTACCAACTTATTCTACATTCATTTCTGATCCTATTGTATCAATTTCACCACAAATTATGTCCGTCAATGGCTTCTAGAGGACTTTAAAAGCTTGATGCGTCGGGCCTGGCAGAGGTCCAAGATGAGAAAAGCCACCCTGCGCACACCCTAGGGA